CGACCGAAACAGTCAAAGGGTTAACGACTTCACCAAGCTGGCTTTTGCTACTGCAATAAGGACCTGCTTACAGGTTAAATTTATGGCAATCCACTCTCTGAAAGACTCCTTCATTGTCATCCATCCTGATGACACTGAAGCATCAAAACTCATAGATGAATCTTCAATCAATACACTACAAACATGACAATTCACCATATCCCTGTCTCCATTCTTGAAGGTGAAATATTCCATCTTTGTGATAAGGCTTGACAAGATCATCATGTCTCTCTCAAGTGAAGTACTGAAGACATCTATAGAGGAACAAAACACTTGGGCCTTGGTAGACAACATCACCAAGATCCTTAATGCCTCATCAATGACAAAGATCACTTTCTCAGACATCTCCATGGCTGCCTAAGCTCTGTCTGAAGAACTGGACATCTCATTTCACATTCACCCATGACATATAGAACCTGAACGCTTCACACACATCTCCCGCTGCTGGATCTGTTACTCTTATAATCACACTACCAAGGACTGTCCAATCGAAGATAAGGAGTTCTGTTTAAAAATTGGAAATGATGGACATGAATTCAGATCCTGCACCATCACTACAGCTCCAACACGTGTTAACTGCAAGGGTAATCATCATACCCTTGCAGCTAAGTGCCCACTCAGGAAAGAAATCACATCAAAGAAAACAAAAGATCTGAAGAAGAACATCTCCAATTCACTGACATATGCTGCAATAATCAAAAGACAAGCTGACAGCACCAAGATTCTACACGCCACTCTACAGACCCCTTCACCCAGCAACGCCCTTTCTCCACTCCCTGGTGTTCTCTGCAAGGTGTTGTACTGCATGGTGTATGCACACCTTGCAAATGCAGCAAACCCTGGCACTTTCAACACCACCATTAACAAACTATTCTGTCTGAACAACATGCCTGCCTTCAATTTCCTGGACTCCACACCTTCAGCAAACATCCTCAAGATCCTTCCCAATGTTGTGAACTTTACTGCACCTGCAGACCTGTCTCCTACTGCCCTAGCAACTGTTCCTGACTCTTTGACAACCACCTCCACCGCTGACAACATTGTTCATTCTGCCTCAATCACCACCTCCCACGTCTCCCAACCTCTTGATACACCACCAATACACCACTGCTCCTGCCGACTCATCGTGACCTGTCAGTTTCATGGAAGACTCGCCCACCAAATCTACTTCCAAAGAATCACGAAATCGTAATGACGCGATTGCAAACAAACCATACCACGGGCGGGATTTGAACCCGCGGTCAAAGTCTCAAAACTCCAGACCGTCGCGTTAGCCACTGGACCAGCTAGCCACAATAAGATTCGTCCAACTAGGTATATTTCTACACCATAGGAAGGTTAGCATAGGCACCACTGTGACCACAAATGCAAGTTTTTACAGACGAATCTCCAGCTAGCATCGCCGTGACGAACTCTAGCTCAAGTCCCCTCACTGCCGTCAACATGACGTGGTATGGTTTGTTTGCAATCATGTCATTACGATTTCGTGAGTCATGTTGACGGCAGTGAGGGGACTTGAGCTAGAGTTCGTCACGGCCATGCTAGCTGGAGACTCGTCTGTAAAAACTTGCATTTGTGGTCACAGTGGTGCCTATGCTAGCCTTCCTATGGTGTAGAAATATACCTAGTTGGACGAATCTTATTATGGCTAGCTGGTCCAGTGGCTAACGCGACGGTCTGGAGTTTTGAGACTCTGACCGTGGGTTCAAATCCCGCCCGTGGTATGGTTTGTTTGCAATCGTGTCATTACAATTTTGTGAGTCATGTTGACGGCAGTGAGGGGACTTGAGCTAGAGTTCGTCACGGCCACGCTAGCTGGAGATTCGTCTGTAAAAACTTGCATTTGTGGTCACAGTGGTGCCTATGCTAACCTTCCTACGGTGTAGAAATATACCTAGTTGGACGAATCTTATTGTGGCTAGCTGGTCCAGTGGCTAACGCGACGGTCTGGAGTTTTGAGACTCTCTGACCGTGGGTTCAAATCTCGCCCATGGTATGGTTTACTTCCAAAGAAGTTGATGACTCCAGTACACTTCTCCAACTAATGCTGACACCATGACCTGCACTGAGCTCTACAAAGGCCTCAGTACTGGAACTGTCAAGTTTGCTTGTGAGCCACCTCTTCACTTCACACTTACCTAAGTTCTGGAATTCCTCAAGCCTCTACGTTTCACCTTTGGAAACAAGACAAAACTTTACCACCTCTCTAGGAGCAGCTTCAGAATTTTATTAAATGGTGCCTCTACAAACCTGCTTCCTTAATCACATCAAATAACACCACCAGTGAGCTGCCCTCTGATGTTCCTACCTACCTGCCCTGTCCTGCGATCTAATCTGCTGCCAGCTTCTCAAGACTCAAGACCTCCAACCACCACAAGACCGTTGCAACAGAGCCTGCTTCTCTTGATTCTCCATTCTGCCCCACGAGCACCTAGCTGCTGGGTTAAGCCCTGGCACTCTCTCTACGACTGTGACACTCCTCTCCAACACTATTCTTTGCCTGTCCCTTCTTCCCTGCTCACCCCACATGGGGTCTTACCTAAACTCTCTTGATCTTGAACTTGCCCAATGGTAACACAGTTCCTCAATTTCTGCAGTGGAAATGTTGCCCTTACTGCTTCCCTCCTCTTCCTCTGAAGAAATTTCTTCACCCACTTCTTGCTGCTCCTTGTGCAGGTCTTGAAGTTCTTCTGTGGTGAGCTCATTCTTGTGATCCTCTACATCCTCATAGTCCATTTCCAATCCCGTGGACTGGCCCAGAGAACCAAACCTTCACTACAGGCTCTGCCTCAAAGCCTTCAAAATCTCTGAATGACACTCAGTCTGACCACAATATCTTCCAGGTAGAGTTCATTATCCTGAAAGAAACTCCCATCCCCTGGCTTTGTCTATTATCCTTAAACACTGGAGGATATTAAAATGTTTTTTCCAAAACTCCCTAAGGGTAAGCTCTGTTTCAAAAGTCACTTCAAAGCACCTTTTAAACAATGCTTTTGTGTAGTTTCTTATAATTGGAAATTACCTGCTGGTCCATGGGATGGATAAGAGGAGTGGTGTTAGGGGGCAAGAACTTCACTTTAACCCTTTCAGGGTCCGTCCCGTAGATCTACGGCTTTACGTTCAGGGTCCAAACCGTAGATCTACGCCATGAGCTCAGCTCACTCTGATAAACTGAGTGGTACATTTGGGCCTAGATATGAGAGAATACATCTATGTGGTATGTGTGCACCACATAAAACAGATCCTGCAGCACACTGTGTATAATGAGAGAAAAAAAATGAAATCATGATTTTTCGATTAAAACAGCAACTTTGCAGTGTTTTTTCGTATGTTTTTTATAGTTGTATTTGCGATTTCTTGGTCTCATTTGATAGAATGGAAGACATATTACAGAAATAGAGATGATTTTGATTGGTTTTAGCATTGGAAATGGCTTGAAACTGAGCTCAAAGTAGCGGAAATGTTAAATTTTTGCCGATATTCAAGAGTAAACAAACGACCTCACAAGTCTAATACACATCAGCTGGTGGGTCTAATATACATTCACAAATATGGTGATGATATTTATACAATTATTACAGTATTGCATAACAGTAAATCTTCTATTTTTTGGTGTGAATAAAAATTCATTATGTGAATAAAAAATCAAAATGGAATTTATTTGTAAAGCCTCAAAACATAACTAATAAACAGAGGAAATGTTATTTTTAGTGCCAGGAATGCCTGCATTGTTCATTCTGGACCCTATTTTGAAATTGGAATATTTTGAACTTTGTGTTAAATTGGCCAAATTAACAATTTCCGATCACTTTATTTTGTAGTTGAAACAGTTGACTTGGCGATTTTTTGTGCTCAATCGATAGAATAGAAGTAATACTAGTGAAATAGCTAAGAATTTGGTTGATTGGAATAATGTAATTGGCCTAAAATGGGAGTCAAAGTCGGCAAAATCGCCGATTCGTAAATATCGCTGACACATCAAAATTCGCGAGAGCATAATTTCGTCAATTTTCCACCAAATTTCGTACTTTTTGTTTTATTACCTTCACAAAAAGATTCTCTACGATTTCATAAGAAAAAATAAAAAATTTTTTTTTTTTAAATTCTTGGACACTGGTGCGTGACTCCAGATTTGGGCCTTGGACCCTGAAAGGGTTAATGAAGCTGTATTCATCTACCAAATTTTCCTCCAAGCCTGGAGGGTGAGCAGGAGCGTTGTCCATTACCAGAAGTGCCCTTGATTATAAGATTTTCTCTGCAAGGTACTGCTTCACACTTGAGTCAAACACTTCATGTAACCACTCAGTGAAGAATTGCCTTGTTACCCAAGCTTTACTATTAGTCCTCCACATTACACTGAGTTTACTTTTTATCACAGTGTTTCTGAAACACCCTTGGATTTTCAGAGTGGTAGACTAGCAATGGTTTAATTTTGCAGTCCCCACTAGCATTACCACACAACAAGAGTGTTAGCCTGTCTTTCATGGGCTGGTGTCCTGGTAATGATTTTTCTTGTTGTGTGATGTAGGTTCTCTTAGGCATTCTTTTCCAAAAGAGGACAGTTCAATACAATTAAAAGCTCATTGAGGAATAACTCTCTCAATGTCTATATAGGTTTAAATTCCTTAACAAACATTTCAGCCTCATCTCTGTTAGCACTGGCAGCTCCCCATGCCTTCCTATACTATGAATCCCACTTTTCTTTTTAAGCCTATCAAACCAGCTCCTACTTGCCTTAAATGCTTTGTTTTCGTTGGACTTTGTCCAGATGGATTGTTTTGTTTAGGTCAAATATCAGGGCAATGTGCGAATACAGAGTCAAATTTTTCTAAAAAGTTGGGCGAACATCGAGTTATACGAATATAGGGACATACGAATATTAAGATTCCACTGTATAATATTAGCAAGTTTGCCTCTAAAAGAATTATCTAGTATAATGTAGAGAAAAACAACATAATCACCTTAAAGGGAAACTGCTTCTGAATAATGACGAGGAGAAGTGATTTTCCCAACTGAAAGAGACAGAAACATTACTATAATTATTATATTTACAGAAAATAAATAAAAAATAAACTACTCTGCTTATTTTAGATGAACAACTTATAGCGAGCTGTTTCATACAGCTCCTCTATACAATGTGAGTTTTTGTAAATGCAAACTGAGAAAGTGCAGTGGTACCTCAATATCTGAACTTAATCCATTCCAGGAGGCTGTTCGAATAGAGCTGTACAAATGTTGAATCAATTCTTCTCATAAGAAATAATGTAAATTGGATAAATTCATTCCTGACCCTCTTGCCACATCAGCCCCCCTCTTATATGCACAATATGGTGGATTTCACCATACCATATTGAGTGGCCAGGTTCGATACACGTGTTCTACTTTCTCCACTTCGCAATGAGTTCTCTTCACTTTAACTGCTGTTCTCACTGCTTTCCTTTTAGGCTTGTTTAGATCACTACTCTTTTTTTTGAAGGACATGATTATTTATTTTCAATGAAAATATTAAAAAAACACCACAGAATAACAATGAAATACCGAAGTTTCAGGAAGCTTGTATGAATGATGCTTAACAAATGAAAGCTGATGAGAGACTGAGCGCATGATACTTTGTTTTCATTGGACTTCATCCAGATGGACTGTTTTGATTAGGTCGAATATCAAGGTAACATCCTACCAAGTCAAATTTTTCTCAAAAAAAGTTGGGCGAATATCAAGTTGTATGAATATAGGGACAAATGAATATTGAGGTTCCACTGTACAGTCATACAAAATTAGTGTGGAAAGGTGTTCATAATGTAAGCTATTCAATTTTAAAAAGCATTTAAAAAAAAAAACATGCTACATAGAGAAGGTTTATGTGAGAACTTATTGTATATACAGTGGACCCCCGGTTCACGGTAGTAATCCGTTCCTGAGAGCTCATCGTAAACCAAAATTATCGGAGCGAATCAATTTTCCCCATAAGAAATAATGGAAATCAAATTAATCCGTGCAAGACACCCAAAAGTATGAAAAAAAAAAAACTTTTGCCACATGAAATATTAAGTTTAATGTAATAGAATAATTACAATAACAATAGAATAATAACAATAGCATAATTGACACTTATCTTTAATGAAGATCTGGTGATGATTGATGGGATGGGAGGAGGGGAGAGTGTTGAACCTATTGCTTAGAAGGGGAATACCCCTCCATTAGGACTTGAGGTGCCTTTTTCTCCTGAGTAATGTAGGTCCTGCTTGGCAATTTCTGTCTTTCACATATTTTTCAGCTGCTTTTTGGTCTGAACTGGCAGCCTCACCATGCCTAATCACACTATGTATGCCACTATGATTCTTAAATCTTTCAAACCAACCTTTGCTGGCCTTAAATTCACTCACATCACCACTAGTTGCAGGCAATTTCTTTACCAAATCGTCATGAAACTGCCTAGCCTTTTCACAAATGATCGCTTGAGAGATGCTATCTCCTGCTATCTGTTTTTCATTTATCCACACCAATAACAGTTTCTCAACATTTTCTAACACTTGCGGTCGCTGTTTCTTAATCACAGTTGCACCTTTTGCAACAAAAGCTTCCTTGATTGCCGTTTTCCTGCTCACTATAGTAGAGATGGTTGATTGGGGTTTACTATACAACCTGACCAGCTCCGACACACGCACTCCACTTTCGTACTTTGCAATTAACTCTTTCTTCATTTCAATAGTCATTAGCACCCTTGGTCTCGAAGGGTTGGCACTAGAAGCTTTCTTGGGGCCCATGGTGACTTATTTTGCAGAAACAAGCACCAAAAGCAGTGATAATATGGATAATATGGAATGCACCGAATGTATCCTTAGATGCGCGCACACTAGCTGGCTTGTAAACACTGGACACGTCTCGTACGAATCGTATCACATACCGGGTTTTGTAACGGGAAGCGAGGGAAATTTTTTGCAATCAAATGCATCGGCTACCGGATTTATCGGATACCGATAGCATCGCGAACCGGGGGTCCACTGTATAAGAATATAAGAACATAAGAAAGAAGGAACACTGCAACAGGCCTACTGATCCATGTCCCCCACCCCCCCGGATTAGCCCAATGACCCCCCCAACCGGATTAGCCCAATGACCCACCCAGTCTGGTCACCTTCAGTCAAGGAAGGAGCACGGCACCAGGCCCAGCAGCACAAGCTAGTCAGGTCCAACTCACACCCACCCACACCCACTCATGTATTTATCTAACCTACTTTTAAAACTACACAACGTTTTAGCCTCAATAACTGTACTAGGGAGTTTGTTCCACTCATCCACAACTCTATTACCAAACCAGTGCTTTCCTATATCCTTCCTGAATATGAATTTTTCCAAGTTGAAACTATTGCTGCGAGTCCTGTCTTGGCTGGAAATTTTCAGCAAGCTATTTACATCCCCTTTATTTATTCCTGTTTTCCATTTATACACCTCGATCATATCCCCCCTAATTCTACGCCTTTCAAGAGAGTGCAGATTCAGGGCCCTCAGTCTATCCTATAGGGAAGATTTCTGATACATGGGATCATCTTTGTCATCCTCTTCTGTACGTTTTCCAGAGCATTTATATCCATTCTGTAATACGGTGACCAGAACTGAGTAGTATAGTCTAAATGAGGCCTAACCAAGGATATATAGAGTTGAAGAACAACCTGAGGACTTGTATTATTTATACTTCTAGATAAGGAGCCAAGAATTTTGTTAGCTTTATTGCAAACACTAATGCACTGTTGTCTTGGTTTTAGATTACTGCTAATCAGAACTCCTAAATCCTTTTCGCAATCAGTAGTATTAAGATCTACATTATTTAGTTTATATGTCGCATGGTTATTTTCCTGTCCAACATTTAGAACTTTGCATTTGTTTATATTAAACTGCATCTGCCACTTCTCTGATCATTGCATCAGTCTATTCAAATCATCCTGGAGTGCTCGTGTCCTCATTAGAATGAATTGGACTGCCTATTTTGGTGTCATCAGCAAATTTGCTTATGTCACTATTTATTCCCTCATCTATGTCGTTTATGTAAATTGTGAACAACAACGGGCCCAACACTGACCCCTGAGGAACACCGCTTGTGACGTGCTCCCATTCTGATTTCTCCCCATTTATGCAAACTCTCTGCTGTCTATTTGTCAGCCATGCCTCTACCCAGGAAGAAATTTCTCCTCCTATTCCGTGTGCCTTAAGTTTCCTCAATAGCCTCCGATGTGGAACTATCGAAAGCCTTACTGAAGTCCATATACACAATATCATATTCATTACCATGATCTACCTCCTCAAACACCTTTGTGAAAAATGTTAGTAAATTCCTAAGACAGGAATGCCCCTTTGTAAAACCGTGTTGAGATTCATTAATCAATCTGTGCCTATCCAGATGGCTACAAATTTCTTCGGCAATTATTGATTCCATAAATTTTCCCACTATGGAGGTAAGGCTTATTGGTCTATAGTTCGAAGCCAAGGACCTGTCACCTGCCTTGTAAATAGGTATTACATTTGCCATTTTCCACTTATCAGGCACTATGCCAGTTTGTAGTGATATGTTAAAAAGATTACCTAAAGGTATGCTAAGTTCCTCTTTACATTCCTTTAACACCCTTGCAAACAGTTCATCAGGGCCTGGGGATTTGTTAGCTTTTTGTTTCTCTATTTGTCTGAGGACCATGTCACTAGTTACCGCAATTGTGCATAGTTTATTATCGTCCTGTTCTACATAATCTATTATTTCAGGAATATCACTACAGTGGTCCCTCGTTTTTCGTAATTAATCTGTTCCTGGAGGAGCTACTATAAATGAAATTTATGATTTGCGAATCAATTTTCCCCATAAGAAATAATGTAAATACAATTAATCCGTTCCTGACACCCAGAAGTATTAAAACAAAAATTTTTTTTACATGAAATATACATGTAGTACATAAACAATACAATGGGAAATGATGAATGAAACATTAACAGCATAACACTTACCTTTATTGGAGATTCTTCTTAGTGTATGGGAGACTTGAGGAGGAGAGAGATTGGATTGTTTACAGTTTGGAAGGGGAATCCCCTTCCAGCAACACCTCAGGTACCAATTGCTTCTCTGGGGTTGCTTCTCTTCTCTGTTTCTTAATGCCACTAGGACCACCTTGAGAGTCACTCTAGTCCTGTCTCGCAAAGTAACTGTGGAGAGAGCTCTGTTTCTGGCATCTCTTTAACACTTCCCTAAAATGGCCCAAGACTTTGTCACTGTACATATTTCTCACCTTCTTTACCACAGGCTTGGCACTAGGAGCTTTCTTTGGAGCCATGGTAGCTTATTTAGTACTTGCAAGCACTGAGTGGAATATTATGAAATATTTCGTAGGAGCACTTGAGGGGACCTTCACTCACTGGTAAACAATGCTAGACTGGCTGGGTACGGAGGCCGCCCTGGCTCACACCATGCGTACGCGTCCCGGACGAACTACTATTCGCGAGTCAACTTATGAAAAGCGAGTCCATATTTATACGAAAATACCCCTATGATTGGCGAAATTTACGATTGCCGAGAACTACGAAAAGCGAGGGACCACTGTACAGTGGACCCCCGCATAGCGAACGCCTTGCATAGCGAACAATCTGCATAGCGGACGCTTTGTTCGCTAAAATTTTGCCCCGCATAGTGGACAAAAACCCGCTCAGCGGCCTTCGTCCGAGACGCGTCCAATGTGCGCCCTCAGCCAGCCTCACATGTGCCGCCCGTCCCATTGTTTACCAGCCAGCTTCCGCGGTAACATTCAAGCATACACTCGGAATATTTCGTATTATTACAGTGTTTTCGGTGCTGTTTGTGGAAAATAAGTGACCATGGGCCCCAAGAAAGCTTCTAGTGCCAACCCTACACCTCAAAGGGTAAGAATACCCATTGAAATGAAGAAAGAGATCATTGATAAGTATGAAAGTGGAGTACGTATCACCGACCTGGTCAGGTTGTACAAGAAACCAAAATCAACCATCTCTTCTATTG